AAATCCGGCCCTGTGTATAAGTTATAGAATTTGAGTGTAGTGTACAATCACTACAAACACGTATCTACTGACTACTATCTAGTACGATATAATAGAATCTATATTTTGTCATGGTGTATACGTTGTGCGGTGTGCTGTTTACTCGTATAAGGTGTAGTACAAATGTAATGATAAACGAGATGATTTGAACGCACATAAGATTTTTTGTACAACAAAATTGTCGGGAAAATCGTAACGAGTACAAATACAATAAGTCAATAACGTCTATGTGTGGGGCCCCTGTATGGCCGTACAATAGGTTTGATAAATTGTCTAATCAATTATTATCATTAGCGCTATATCGAAATAAAGAAGTAAGAACAATTAAGTTAAGTAATTAAAGAACTTTCATTTCATTCAAACTCATTTCATAATTTATTTACAGTTTATAAATATGTATTTATTTTACCCTCTACTCAAGTGACTTGTGAAAGGGTATTTTCTAAACTGAAACTTGTGAAGTCTAAAATCAGATCAACAATAAGTCAACAACATTTAATGCTTATTGCAATTGAAAAAGATATTAAGATTCAGAAAACTCAAATTATTGATACTATAGCTACCTAACTACCTAAGTCATCTAAAATGTTACATGAATTGCTCATTTAGTATTTAAGTTTTTTATATTTAGCTATTACTTTCTTTAAAAATAATGTTGTGTCAACTTTTGTTCATTGTTCGTCTTCTTTATTATATTTTGGATGATATCTTTTTCGTAATTTGAATTACATTTTGTTTAGTAACTTATTAAAATCATGTGTATCACTAAGCACGTCAGAAGTTAATACTTGGTTTTAGACTTTAGTAGAGAATTGTAAAAGTGGAAAAATTTTAATCGAGCGACTATTGGTGAGTGGGGGGAGGGAGGTAAAAGTCAGCGGTTTAACGGTCAGCATCAAACGGTGCTGTTCAATATACAGGTTTCACTTTAATCACACAACTATAGTCATTTTTTATTATTATTCATAAGAAAAAAACTGAATTCTGACATAATATATCATAAGTTAGTTTACAAAAAATAATTCATTTACACATTGGCTGATTGAGCGGGGGGGGGGGATATACAATAACTCTAGGAACGAAATTGTTCATATATAGTAAATGAAGAAAAAAAATCGAGGCCCCAGAGAAAAATTGCGGCCTAGGCCTTTTATATGCCAGGCCGACACTGAATATACTACGTCGGTATGATATTCAAAATGCTACTGCAGTTTCCTCACAATGCAATTAGGTAAGATACCAGATACCACTGCGAATTTTCAGAAAATTAGGATTCAGGAGACGCTCCCTAACAGCGTTTCAGGCTATATTCTGTAATAATAATAACAAACCGGGAAAAATAGATGCATTAAATCCGCTTGAGATCAAGTGAGACTGATTATTTAAACTATTGCTACCTAAATAATTATAATTAAAACAAAATATAAAATATAAGACATCGATGTTGTATTGGTTTACAGTGGAATTATATAGGTAAAACATTATAATAGGTACTTATTCAACAAATTACAGTTTATACGTCATGTGAACTGAAATGCATATTTCTTTACCAGAATGTAGGTAGACATACTTGTAATGGAATTTCAATTGAAACAAATTAGTAGTTGTCGGTGAACGATTACCAATGATTATAATTTACCCGTTATTAATAACAAGAGTTTAGGTAGGTAATTAGTAATCGCTAATAACGCGTTGCTCCCTATTTGGAAGTGATACGATTGGACATAATATTGTCAACTACCTGTAGGTAGGTACTAATCTGACAACCATTATCCACAATAATTACAAGACAACATTGAACATAAATTACAAATAAATTGTATTAGGTATGAAGTTATAATATAATTTATGGTTTTATAAGTTACCTATAATCTTATTCATTTCAAACTGGAATTATTGTAGGAATAAACAATTATGTTTGTAAATCGCTTTCCGCAAAAATTTCTCATGTATAATTATCAAAATAATAGTGAGTATTCAAAAAAAGGGTGGAGATTTCGAGTGTCCCCAGGTGCTTTGTCACCGAGTAGGTCACTGTAATGAATAATGGTTGTGTTAAGTTGTACAATACAATGATGATCGTCGCATACGACAAATAATTCTGAGCAGAGTGTGCAGGCTCTATTTTCAATAATACGTATTTGATAATTAATTTATAAATTATACTACTATATTAGTCATTTATTTTTTTAATTAATAATACCATAGTCACGATTAATGCCTTTGGGGGCATGTCCCCCTTCTAATATAGGTATAGAATGATATTTTGAACATGCTCGCCCTTTGTTTGTGCTTTATATTATACAATATACATATATTTAAATTCTGATTTTTCGAATTTTTATATACCTTGAAGGTACACATGAAGACCATATTTTCAAATACTTGAAATTTTTGATACCACTCAAGGATGATCCTGTGACAGTTCAAACTTCTGTTTTTCAAATCGAAACCAATCAAAATTCGAACTAGTAATTTTTTAGTTATATCATTTTGAGTACTAAGGATAATATTATGTCTATGGTAATGGGTTAAGTAGATATGAGGGCTTAAATAATTTGAAAATGTTAGTAATTATTATTTATCCATAATTTGTAAAATGTATCGAAGTACAAAGAATATTATATTTTAATATTACATAATATTATAGTTTATATTTTTTAAAAACCATTTTTATGAATAAGTATCCTTAGTATAAAATATACTAAAATAACTCAGAAATTACTTATTAGAATTTTGATTTAGATACATCAACATTTTCAAGAAAACCACACGCCTAATAATTTGCAGTAAGAAATGAGGGTTCTTATTTGAAAAATAAAAGTTTGTATCACAGTTAGACACTTCTTAATACAAAAAATGTTAGGAATTTTAAATATGGTCTTTAGCTATACTTAAAAAATCCAAAAATCAGAATTTAAACAAATGTATTATTAAAGGGAAAAATGCTCACTTCCAGAGCATGTTCAAAAAATCACCATAAATATTGGGTGATAAATCGTGTAAAAATTGTTCGTAAATTTGGCAAACTGTTATATTTGCTGTACCCTTAAGGAGTATTCTAAAGCGATACCAACTACCTAATTTTTTTATTTTTTTTTACAATTATTAAGCAGATTTTGTTCTTATAAATCTAAATAATTAAAAATATGGTAGCTAAGTATATTTAAAAATTCCAGGAAAAATGAGAGTACTCCGACGCTCTGTGAATCAAAGTATCAAACTGGATAAATATTATATACAGGTATAAATATTGATGTAAATTTATATTTATTAGAAGCCATTACTAGTCAGTATTATAAAGAAAAAGATAATTTTAGTAGTAAAAGGAATATTAAATATTTCAAGTTTCTACGAATAATAACTTTTGAATATTAACAAAACAACTAAAATAGTTTGAGGATAAATCGTTATTTTAACCTTTCTTAATGGCATTAAAATTTGAATTTCAAACACTCATAAAAAATGTATGTGGCTTTACGAAACTTTTTTCTTTGAATTCCAGTAAAAGGAAACTTATGAGGAGTTTTGCATTACATTTTAAATCTTTTTTTTTACTCATGGCCCCTTAGAGTATACCAGTTGAAGATCCAATTTGCTGCATACCTACTTGCCAGTTGAAGATCGGAGCAGATTTTCAGACACAAAAATCCAATAGAAAAACAGCATAGTCATTGTAAATCCATTAAATTAACCCTCCACTCAGAATATATAGTAATGCACCTATACCTACAACCTACTACTTTATTTATAACTAATTTTAAAATCATATTATTTAGAGCGATACAATAATGATCTTAAGTTTTGAAATATATAAAACTAGACACTATTATAGTACCTACGTAAAAGCTCAAATTTTTATGTATAGGCACTTTAATTATATTAAAAATTATTATTTTTACAAGAGCAAAAGATTATTAGTTAGGTATTATAATTATTGGTCGGATTCTGATTTCTGACTATCGTATTTTTTTGCCATTCACGAATAGGATATTTCTGATAATTCTTTGTACAATTTACTATGCGATACTTTTAAAATACTTTTACATGTTATATATTATTATAATATTTAAAGTAGTTTTCACTATTATATAAATAAGTCTTAAAAACAATGAGTGTCGTACACGTAGTCTTGTACACAATATAATTATTATTATTCGTCGTCCACCGCGAGTAGTGAAACAATTCGTTCAGCTTTTTTTTTCAAATGACAATCGTTCGACCTTTCTAAAATACGTCTACTGGCATTTGACGTCACGCCGAGGTCTTAAAATAATATTGTCGCATAATATATTATATGTTTGGTCATATCGATCACCGCAAAAATGTCGATCGCAGCCACCCTGCAGTGGAGAGCTGTTGGTCTGGTCAAGTGGTCTCGCGCCTGCCACTTGGGACGGATTATTCATCCGAACCACTCGTGTGGCGACGGCCGCTAAATGTTTGCAGCTGTATGGACATAACGAAAAACAAAAACAAATATAAATACACTCCACACGTCGCGTCGGTGGCGAGAGGGACAAACTTTTTATTTATTAATTAAAAAACTCGAGTTTATGTGTCGTTAACACGCGTTATGATATTATTAAAATATAATAATGTTTGATTATACTCGACGTTGACCGCAGGCTCAACTTTATTATATCAGTGCTTACTTAAACATAAAAATAATTAAAATAATAATAATAATAATAATAATAATATAATATTCCGGTTAGGTCACACGCACACACGCAGCGGATTCACGCGCATCAGCCATATTATGATTATGACCGCCGTGAAATAAAAGTCCAATATGAAAGATAAACAACGCATAATATTCTAATAATATTTTCTCGGCGCAATGAAAAAAGTAAATAAATAAATAAAACATGATAAAATAATATTATGATAACGTAATACTAAATAGGTATGTGCACAGGTAAATAAAGTAAATAGGTAAAGGTAACTAGGTATGTCTCTCAGAGATAGGGTTCCGTCCAGTACTTGACGGCGGCCGGGTACGCGGACTTGCAGTCGAACGACGCCGACTTGGCCCGGTTCCTGCTCTTCACGTCCTTGGGCTTCTTCACGTTCCTGTGCGACCCGTACGCGTTCCTGTTCGACTGCACCGTGATGATGGACTTCTGGCTGAGCCCGGTCACTTCCAGGAACGACTCGTAGTTGACCCGGCCGGCGGCGCAGCACCCCCCGTCGTCCCCGGCCGACCGCAGCAGGACCGCGGCCGCCGAGACAGCCGCGGCCACGGACGACGGCGAACCGTGCCCGGACGGGTACTCGAGCCCGTCCGCCTCGGACCGGCCGCACCCGTACTCCTTGTCCAGGTCACTGTCCTCGAACCGGAACTCCTCGAAGTTGTTCCGGGGGTCCAGGTCGCTGAGCGACACCGCCGCGCAGCCGCCGCCGCACACGTCCGGTTCCGAGTCGGTCCTCACGTCCAGCTCGGCCGCCGTCCTCAGGTCGGCGTCCGCGATGTAGCTGCCGTCGCTTCCGCCGCCGCCGCCTCCACGGTTGTCCACCGGAGTAGGAGACCTCCCGTCGGCGCCGCGCGACTCTGACCCCGTCGCCGAACCGGAAGTCGTGGCCGCCGTGGTGCATATGCTCTCGAACTTCCGGACCATCTGCGACACGCTGGGCGACGTTTCCGTGGACGCCGTGCTCGAAGTGTCGTTCTCCGATTCGGTCGAGTCGCCGCACTCCTGCAGCAATAGCGTCTCCACCGTCTTGACGATGTCCGTCTGACCTTCGTCGTCGGGCTCGGGTATGTGAGTCGTCTTGCCGAAATGCACGGACTTCGGTGAAGGGTACTTGTCCGCCTTCTTCAGCGCGGACGTGATCACCTTGCCGTTTTGCTTCACCGAAGTTATCACCTGCAAACCAAAATTTAACACGTCAGAATGGCACGACTAGCTTTACTATACAGGACGTGTTGTTATGATATTATTAGGAATACATTTTTGTTGGAGGAAGAATTTAACTCGCTGGGTAGAATAATTTTTTATTTTAATTCTACCGATTTCCGAATAACCAAAGTTAATTAAGTATGTGAATAATAATTATTATAATTTTAATGTTAATACCGTTATAACTTTATAATAGTATACGGTATAACGACGAAACTGATTTAACGATTACTGCAGCATTATCATGTCGCAATAGTACAATTATTTTTGTTTCGTGATCGCGTTTAATGTCTATTATATTTTATCAGCAATGCGGATGATGGGTTTAATTTTGTCAAGAAAGTAATAATAATTAAGATACAACAGCAGTTGATATTATATCGCTTGGTCTTTTATTTACGAATTAGGTATTTAGGTTGGTCAAGTTTGTGAACGAGGTCGAAACGAATAAACGGTAACCATTTACAAAATCATTTCTCATTATTATATTGTTCATAATATTATTAAGTACCTACATAATTTAGAATATTAGATATTGATTATTATTATGTATCGCCTTATGTTCATTACCACACTTACACACACAACATTCGATTAAAATAAATGTTGGTGTAGTCAAAATATTATTTTATATTATGTTTACATAACGAATTACTTTCATTACGCATCTTACCGCCTATAACGACCAATTTCACTGGTCCCTTAAAAGTCGTTATTAAATATGTTTTTTCACGGTTTTAATATGAATAAAAGTAAACTTATACTGCTATTACATATTTTTTTTAAGAGTTTTTTTTTAGTTATTGCCGATCTCTTTTTTTTCAATTTTACCGGGAGGTAAAATACATATATTCTCTAGTGTAATTTAAGCTGATTCACTAGGCAGTAGAATTCTACCCAATTTTACTATAAACATCGGAAAAAATTCACTGGCGAATATTTACCGGTGAGGGTAAAATTGCATGGTGATATAAATAGAATCAAGGTAACAGGTTATGACGGATCCCGACATAATAATATATCCGGCACAAATCGTATTATATAAACATTTATATCGGTACCTGAGCACCGATTGAAATGTACCAGGAAACCTTAGGTTTGTGACACGAAAAGCCAAAAAATCTCGTAAGAATAATTATTGCAATGTAGACATACTGCAGCAAAAGGAAAATTTTCAACAATAGGTGTTACGGTGCTGTAAGGAAAAACCCTTTCCCAGATGCATCTTCAGCCCGAAGTAATATCATTTATATAACTGCGCCAGTCTAATTGAGTGCAGAAGACAAACTATTTTATTTCCAATGTATATAGACAGGTACTATCAACATTCAATAGGTATCGTAATATTAAGCACCTAAGCTGTATGTACGAACAAACGGAATTTGATAAAAAAATATATAATATGAATATTAGCAAAAGGCAAATAATGTTATTGTTCAGATGTAAGTATACAAACGTATTGCAAATTATTGTATTATGGTTTGATATTTAAGAAATTAAATAATACATTTTAAGGACGTCGTATAAGTACTACACTACTACTATCACTGTTTGTCATGTTAATATGTCAAAACATTTAATTTAAATATTATAATTTATCATAGTATCATACTATTATTATGCGCCTACGAAATATTTTTTTATTTTAACGTATACCATCATAAATATTGAACAACGGTATGGACGGAAATCAATACTTCCGAGTTCAATAACTATTTTTATTGATAAGAAATAAATATATAGAGCCTAACGAAATAAGCTTTACTAAAGAATAATACCATTATTAATAAAATAAAATGTTATTCCCAAACAATATCGATGTAATTTTAAATTAAGTTTACCTCTTTAGAGACTTCGTTGTATGTAAACTCGTTTTTCGAGAAAATAGAGTTAGACACAACAAATAAGTTGTTATTGGGTGTTGGGTTTGGAAACGACGATATGTCATTGAGAGACAAGTCCGTAACAGTTTTACTGTATACGTTCTTGTTAAAGTTGATATTGTTGTTTGAATTTTTCTTAGTACGCGTGTCAACCGGTAAGACATTTTTCCTCGGTCCCTCCAATTTCGGCGGTAGTACTATGAGTTTTTCCGAATTGGAAGGAGAATCTCCATCGTTATTTTTCACGTGTTCGTTTAAGTGTGATTGTGACGAGATAGATGTGATCAAGTCGGGCTTTGAAATCGAAATTTCCGTTTCCTCGCGCGTCTCATTCTTATGACAAAGGTTCGCTAGATTCTGTCTCAATTTTGAGATTTCTATTTGTTGTTGCCTTATCACCGAATCTCTCTCTCCCAGTTGCCGTCTGATTTGCTGTTGTTCTTTTCTTAATTTCGACTCGAACACGTACAGTGACCTCAACACTTTGCCTAGATCGTTGAAATTTGAACGTTGGAATTCTTTTAGTTGATTATTTTTTTTGTCAACTTTCAGTGACAGTTCAGCCACTAGCTGGTGTCTTTTGATAATTTGACTGGTCAATGCATTTTTCGTTCTAGAGAGTTCATTTTTTAATCTGATTATTTCATCATCAATCTGAAACAAAAACAATATAAAATAATTAAATATGAATATTCCCTTATACACAATATCCAATATAACTTTTTTATTTTTATTTTTAAAAGTAATTAACAATCTGTATCAATATTAGACACAATAAGAAAATGAGGTAAAGGTAAACGAGACATGAGGTTTTTGCCACCCATTGATGACACTTTCTGTTAGCTTGCTATATAATACTTAAATTAGATATTCCCATAATTTCATTATTAGAGATTTAAATATTTTTTAACGAACAAAATTCACTAGCTCTATTGACAATAAAAAAGATAATTTTATTTGTGAATATAGGTAGTTTGTATACTATATAAATAGACGCCATACATAATGTAAAACATTATTGTCTTGTTCTCAAGTCATCACAATTATGTTTAATTTTCCTTTTTATTTTTTGACCGTTAGTGTGTTATTTATCATTAATGTATCGGAATGTCATTCATTCGTTGATAAGTAGGTCACGTTTAATTATTAGCGTCTTGTAATTCCCAAGAAATATGCGTATTATACTAAGTCTGCAGTTGTTAATGAATATCTGTAGAATCGTAGTTTTTTAATACTATTGTCATTATAACGATGGATAAATAAATAAAACATCTCGGATGGAACTATGGAAATAATTTACACAAAGTTAATCTCTTTCGGAATTCTCGCGTACCTATAGTGCAGTCCTCATACATACCGTACATATTTCTAAACAATGAGTATACGAATAAAAACGTAAAAATGTGGTAACGTAAATACAAAATATACTAATAGGAAGTTATACAATAGGTTTTCGCAGTGTTAAGAATAATAATTATGGAAATATCCATATTAACGTTACATATTATTATTATTATTATTATGATTATTATAAAACGGATTATGATATGGTGAGCGCACAGCCACTTTCATTAAAACGTTGGTAACAAAATTAATTTGCTCGCAAGTATTTGTGTGTGTGTGTGTGTGTGTGTGTTGGTGTGTGTGCCCTACCTATACAAACTACGATTTCTCATACTGTGATATATAAACAGATGAACAAATAATTACCTACTTCACTAGAAAAACTTAAGTAGACAACGATCGCATTCCGCACGCACGAATACAATAATACGTTTTAGGACCACTATATACCTACGTTCTTATTAAAACAACAATCGCTACATCAAACAATAATCTGACATAGGTTTTCCACTGACATTACGCCCCGCGTTTTCTAAAATGACGACCGGTTTCACGATTTGTTAGGAAATTGTTGTAGAGTTATATAATATAATATGTCTATATAGATAATAATATATAATAATTTATAGGTACTATTCGGACTGTGACAAAATATTTCGGGGAATCACTATGTAGTAGAGGTATTTGTTATGCAAATTAATATCGATATTTTATTTAAATACAATAATTTACGCAGTCACGGTGTTTTGTAAGTATAATCTAAATGATAAACATTTCAGTGAATTTTCAATTGCGCCCTCCGGTGTTTATCTCCCAATGCTCTATATGATAATGCAATTTCAGCTTCTCTATAAAAAATACACGAGCGTTCAGTGGTTTTCTTTCTTGGTTTTAAAATTAATCCCTCGAGATACATACCACCACACCGACCAGACCAATTCCGTCTTACGCAAGTAACGTTTTCGCGGACGATTGGTTGCGCCAACCCCTCCCAACATTGATACAAAGCCGTTTTTCAAATAATCTAAATTTATCGAGCAAATAAAATGTACGTACCTACCTATATAATACAAAGGTAGGTACAATTATACTACAGTAATACCTACGTATTAAACACACACATTGTATACACGCTCACCGCAATCGTATGCGATGTATATTTTATTAAGCTACAACATCTCGTGGACGCATACGTATTCCCACAATGTACATGTATGGTGTAGAAATGAGTATTAAATTAGAGTATGATAATGTTAGAATACAACGCATTAGGTAGGTCCTATATACCTTTTTGCAGTTTTTATGTATACGATTTAGTCTCAAATTACATGTCATCGGTTGTACTTTCAATACAATTGACTCATGCCTATGACGGACCGAATAAAATTTCCAGATGTGTGATAAACCGAACCTAATAGAAAGTCGGAGAGGAAGTAGCTCTGCTGTATAGTATACATTTCGAGCAGTGTACCTCGTCCCTGCAGAGTGGGCCGCCGATATATTAAAATTTGTTTATATTACTTTTATTTTATTTTAGTTCGATACATTTGTTCTAAAAACATCGCAAATATTAAACTATTTATTTTTATGATAATATTAGCCACCCTGCCCGGGATTGCCAGTGTCAAATAAGGGGCCCGTGAAATTCACCGAGGTGATAAGGTGATAATTTTTTAAGTCTTAGGTATGAAAATTTTTATGATATTTTAACTACACAGTAATCTGCAATGTGTATTTTTATGAATCTTATCAAATTCTTAAATTTAAACAATTATAAAAATATTGTGTTTCTTTATATTTATATTTTTCATTTCCTGTATTCCCGTAACTTACAAAACATAATATACATTTTGTATTATATTTTCAAAACGTTTGACTCGTAACAATTTGTTTTTATAAATATCTAATGTCCCGCCCAAATGAAAACAAATTTTCTGCCAGAAATCACCTTCAATATTGAATCATTTTTCTGGCATAAAATAATGTGTCTAACCCAATAGTAAAACCAATGCATTCGTCGTTATCCGCCTAGAATCTTGACGAACTCCGTTTCAAACTTTTTAAAATCCAGCGACGTCCTCCCAACGAAACCGACGACGACCGTGGTTCTCTCGTAGCATATTTTGCGAGGTTTTTTCGATGCCGGACTTTCGAAATCGGTTCGTGCTCAGCACACGAAGTTACAATTATTATTATTATTATTTATTATACCTAAGGCTGCAAGTCCACAACGATATACTATATAATATCATAGTCTGTATCAAAAGCCATATTTTTTATTTATATAATTATTTACTGTTGTCGTCGTCGCGTTATTTATATTTCTGCGAACGGTATGGCGCAATAAAATGTGCTGATCAATTGCGTTTCCAACGAATCTCGAGCCATAACGCCCAACTGGATAAACTGCCACAGCAACGTCCGTTACCGAGAATTTATCTGCTCGGGATAAACGATGACGATTTTGTGCAGCGGTTCGCGTCGAAACGGCATTTCGAACTCCGCTCCACCCATCCGACCACGGCCGCGTCCACCACCTCCTGTTGCGTTTTTTTCGACGAATTCCCGAGTCGGGACGTGTCGGCCGTAGAATTTGCCGGTGCACAACAACGACTGCACTATTATACAGCAGCACGACTTGTGTTCGATGTTGTTGGAAAAAAAAACACAGCGATGCCGCTGCGACGTCCGATAAACACGCGGACAACCCGATCCGGAAGACCGCCCGTTTCAACCCTTTCGGTCGAAAAATCGTCCGTCTCCCCGAATAGGTATATATTATTATAGGTGTATACAGCGCATAAATATCGACTTATTGCGTATGCTTTTCGCACATTAATTTATTATGCTTGACGTACTGCAGTTTGGCCAGTGGCGTATTTAGGGGGGGGGAGAAATTTCCCCGGTTCACCAAAGTTGAGTCCCTCAGAGGGGAGCCGTCGCTATAGAGGTTAAATTGTTTTCAAAGTGAAGTTATGACGCGTAATATTAAAATATGATTATTTATTCCGTCAAGTTATAAATTATTTTATTGGATTTGTTGAGAAACTATAATATGGTGATGACCTGTATCTTTGGTTGTTATATCTTTTACATATTATTTATATATAAATATATAATGTATTTTATTGTACTGTCATATCGTGTACAATTTAGAAAAAAAAAAGGCTAAAATCTAAAATTGTAATTTGTTTTACTATTAATTATAAAGGTTGACTTTTTTTATGAGAAATAAATTTAGTGGTAATGGTAAAATAAAAGTGTTTTCTAAGCTAGTTAAGTTCAATAAGCGGAAAAATATAAATTTTGGGATTTCACTTTTAACGGAGAGAAAAGTACATTTTCTAATTAGAGGGGGCTCAAAAGTATTTTGTGACAATGAATAAAAGAGTCACCAAAATATGTGTACCTATTTCGCCAAAACCGTAAATACCCGTCTGAGTTTGGTGTGCAGAGTTATCTATTTAATGTCATAATGTTTTAATAAACTCGTGAATAATGCAATAATATCAAGGAGGGTAGGTTAATCCACTACTGATAAATTATGTGGCCACTGTGGTAAACTGTACTCGAAATGATTTTCTTAAATCACCTACCCAGTTGTTCGAGTTGTATAGGATGTTTACTAAAAGTTTCGAGTAATTCTTCTGAATTTGTGAGATAGGGGGGGAGGCAACAAAATAATAATAATATTAACAAATTAATATTATAATAAGTAACGATTAAACGAATATCAATCGGTGACCGCCGCGAAACAAATGTAGAGGGTTATGTGGGAATTCAATATAATAATATAAAGTCTTGAAGGCGGTTAGGTCAGGCGAGTCGAAAAACCAATAATCGTCGGCGAAAAACTGAAGGTAAGTAAAAAAAAGGTGGGTAAGTGGATGTCGCTCTGCTGTACTGTAGGTTACAAGTGGGTCACTGTATAATGGATGCTATTAAATTTGAATTCAATGATACAATATATCATTGTATAAGAAAAACGATTCTGAGCGAAGACGGTATGTCAGTCTAGGTTTAAGACAAATTATATACATATCTATGGTATTAAAAAAAAATTGACCTATAATAAATTCCAAATTAATCATATCACATTATCACAATATCCATTAGGTACTTATAACACGTTATACATCAACATCAATAACAAACCCTTATACTATCATAGATATATAATAGTACACTTTAGAAGTTTCAAGTAGGTACCCACGAATAATATTATATAATCACAACAAAATAACTAGGTTTTTTAATATGTAATTTCGTCCAAATTTGAACATAAAATGACTATAAAATAAACTGTGATT